ACCCAGAACCTCCCCCCTGCCTGATCCCGATTTTGCTCCCCTTCCCCGAACTTTCCCCTACTCCCGATTTCACTCCTAACCCCGATCCCGACTTTCCCCCTCTGCTCCACGATTCCGATTCGGCCCCATTCCCCCCCCCGATCCCAACCCAACTTCTCCCCGCGCACCTCCTTTCCCTTGGCCAACCCCGATCCCGGCTTTGCCCACTTCCCATTCCAACCCCGCCCGCTCCACTACTTTCCCGCTCCGCCTGTGCGCGTCCCGCCCCGCTCTCTCCCCCGGCCCGCTTCGCCCCGCTCCCCGACCCGGTGTCCTATGGTACACTCAACGAGAATAGAATTTTCGTGAGGAACGAAAGGACAAAAGCTCATTTGACTTTGATTTCCAGTACGAATACAAATTGTGCGAGCGCCGCCTATCGATCATTTAACGCTTCTGGACTTGAAGCCAGAGGTGTCAGAAAAGTTACCACGGGACAACTGGCTTGTGGCAACAACGCGTTCATATCGACATTGTTTTTCGATCCTTCGACGTCGCTCTTCCTATCATTGTGGAGCAGAATTCACGAAGTGTTGGATTGCTAACCCGCCAAGAAGTCCTGCCAACAAGTCGAGCACTTCGCCACGAGATCGTCATCGGCGTTTGATCCTTGATGCTGCCGATCCATGCACGTGACGCCCTTGAATGGATCAACGAGATTCCAATGCCCCTACCTAATTGGCCATAAGAAGGACACAGTGTTGATATCTCGCCGCAGCCATCATCAAGTGAGCATCATCATCATAATCACCATCGCCGCCATTGTCAACATCATTATTGTCACGACTTCTCACCTTCATTGCGCGCATTCGATCTGGCGACCTCGTCGTTCCATCGGGGGAACGATCGGAGAAGATCCTTTACGGGTTGAATGAAGACCTTCCTCGACTACGAGGAAGGACCTTGATTCCTCCCGGCGGACCGGGAGCGCGGTATTGTCAATTTATCTCCCTTTTACTAATTCCCTCGCTTCCTCTCGCCGATCTGTCCCAAAGATCTTATCTTTTTCTTCTCCTTCTATCTCCTCACCATTCCTTCTTCCCCCCTCTACCATCCCACGCAATCGGCCACATCATCTAAAATTTCTAATGCGCGTGACGCGTATCTTCTCTCCCCGTGCTTCTATTACAATGATGTCTATCCTATGGTCCGGAATTTATACATAATTCGATAGGATTAATCTTCATCCTCTTTTCTCCCAACACCATGAACGGAATTGATTCCGGTGTTTTTATTTAAAAGTTACACGGATTTCTTTATCATCTTAAATTCTTTTCGTTATTTATTTTCAAAAAACAAATTCCTTTTCAGAAATTCGTCACATAATTTTTAGAATTCACCATAGTTAATTCCTCTGAAGTCGAATCAAGTTCTATCTTCTGTTTCCCATAGAATTCCGAAATTCTTGCAATTCTTTTGAAAGTCCTTTGAAATTTCTTCAACCCTACAACATGTTGATAAATTTTCTTAATTTTGTCTAAATAATTTTGAAATTTCTCTCCACTTACCTTATTTGGTTTTCATAAATTCCCCATGCCATTTCGTCGTAAATTCTTAATTTAGGAATTAGTTTTCTAATTTTATTTCAAATTATCTTCGAAATTCTTCTAATTTCGAAAATACGTCAAAGATTTTTTTTTTTTTTTCCGTTTTATCTCAAAATGGTGTTGTGAACTTACCTCTATATCCTCTATCCTCTCCCCAAATTTTCGAAAATTTTTATGAGTAATTTTGAAATTCTTTAAATTTTGCTTAAATTTCTTCTAAATTATGAGTTTACGCCCAAACAATTTCGGAGTTTTATTTGACCTCGTGACTGACTTGTGCATGCTTTTGTCTATACCCCACGCCATCCCTTGAGAATCTCCCCTCATTTCCTCGCCTGAATTGGAAATTTTCACTCCTTCCCCCTCACTCCGACTTTGAATTTTCTTAATTTAATTTTGGAAGTTCGTTAGACCTCATTTCTACTCGCCTTCCTCTCACAGTCCTTTACCCCCCCTGTCTGCGTGTCACCCTGGCTCACCATGACATTCAACAACGCGCACTCCAAAATCGCGCTCGAGACGCTCGTGCAGGCTAGCTGTGTCTTTTGAACGGAGAACGGGCGGAATTCAACGCCCGAACCTCTGTTTAACGGGCTCCTGGACCCGCGTTGAATAGCGTTTAACACAAAAACGAGGGCGTCGCGTCGAATTCTGAAAAATGGAATTCGCGCTTTGGGCCTCGGACACGTGTGCCTACGTTCCCGAACACTAAAACCAGAAAAAAAAATAAAAAATTCACCCCCCATTAACCACCCCCCCCAAACACCCCTAAAGGACCGAAAAACCCCTATCTGACCCCGAACACCCCCCCCGGCCCCCTCCCCCCAACCAACACATTCCCAACATGACCCCCAACCCCCACTACACCTCACTGCCCTCAGTGCCCTCACACCCACCCCTGAACAATGGGCACTACCCCTGTCTCTTATACACATCTAGATGTGTATAAGAGACAGCTCTCTCTCTCTCTCTCTCTCTCTCTCTCTCTCTCTCTCTCTCTCTCTCAGCATCTCCGTGCGTGCCATCTGCACGTGTGTCACATTGGTATCGGAGCAGGTTCTCAAACCTCTGCTCCTCCCTCCCTCCCCCTCTCCCTATCCCACCACAGCGGATAGCCATCTCCAAGTTCGTTCTTGCAGCTGCACCTGACCCGTCAACGCGACCAGGTACATTCGTCATCCAAGCTGGCGCCTTTCTGGACGCGGGCGCTACTTCAGCTGCTGCAGTCATCCTACTAGCTGTCGATGCCTGCGTGCTGCCGCTCGTGCTCTGGTTCTTCCCTCGCCCGTGGCTGCTACGGAGCGCTGACCTTGGCGACCTGCAGCTTACCCTGCAGTGAGAAGTCCATTGGAACCTCGTCCTTTGAAGAAGGAGAAGCCGTAACAAGGTTCCTGTAGGCGAACCTGCTGAAGGATCATTGATACGCGGACGCCCGACTTCGGCCACATCAGCGCCTCCTTCCCCTTCCGACTCCCCTTTTTTCCCCGCCGTTCGGATGCCATCTTCGGATCTCCCCGACTGCTGCTCATCCCGATCTCCACCTCACCCCCCTGCTTTGATTCCCCCTCCCCCCTTCTCTCTCGATCCCGACCTCCCTCTTCCATTCCCGGATCCTATCCCCCCTGATTCCCCCCACTCCGCTACCCCTCCCCGATCG